TTTAGGTTTTTGTTTAAATATATTGTGTATTATTAGGTTCTGGGCATCATGATCAGAAAGACCATTTATGATGGGATATACAGTAAAATTAGTAAACTTGTATGTATTAATGAAAATATTATCAATTAAAGAATAAGAATCATTTTGGAATCTAGTAGGAAATTGGATTATACTATATAGTCCATGAGAGGCTAGTATTGAGTTTAGCTGCTGTTTGTGGGGAGAATCTTCGAGATAGTTGATGTTGAAGTCACCACATATTATTATATCCTTGGTGTGTGCAAAAATCATATTTAAAAGTTCGTTAAGGTTTTGAAAAAAATGCTGAAAGTTACCAGAAGGAGCTCTATAGATGGTAATAACACATATTTCATGAGCAGAGAGGTGTAACCTAACTGCACATACTTCTAAGTCCTTTTCTTTACAGTATTAATCCATATTAATTTTAGTAGAATAGATAGTTTCATGTACAAAAATACATGCACCACCATTCTTAAAGATGCTCCTACAAAAACTAGCCCCAAGTCTGAAACCCGCCATCAAAGTAGTGTCAATAGCAGTATCACGAAGATGATGCTCGGTCAAGCAAACAATATGAGAGGAATCCAGAGATGAAGAGATAAATAATTCGTCGAGCTTACTTATATTAAGTCCTCTAATGTTTTGATGATAAATGACTAGATCTTCATTACCAGTTTTAAGGGGCAGTGTTTGCTTAATAATTGCTTTTATTTTTGCTGTTCACTAAATAACTTTTATATGCAGCAGGTTTTGAAGTAGAGACTGGATGAGACTGCTTCAGACTCTACTGTGCCATTATCCACTCAAAGATGGATGGTGGAATCTACATTTATGGCTCCACCATGAAGTCCAGACTATTATAAATCCTATCCAAACACCGTGACTTGTATTAGCACTTGTGCCTTCTGCAATAGCTCTCTTAAGGAATCCAGAGAACCTCTCATCTTCCTGTAGTGGCATGTCTTGTTCTATACTAATTTGGTGAAGGAGGCAACACAACCCTATCCTTCTTATTGTGTAGTATTTCACCTTACCTACAACAGTAGATTCTTGCTGGACACCTGAACTTTTCAGCATGAATAAGTACCCCTATGCCATCTTCTGCATCTTTAGAATCATATGACATGTGCTCTTCAACACAATTAATGAGACTGTAGATTATTTTGGAACCATGATCCTTTCTATGATTATTCTGCCAAGGTTGGATGTGAACTGGAAATTGTGTTGCCATGTTGTAAAAAAAATTTACAAACAAAATTGGGAGCTGAAACCCAAACAATTTTGCAAAACACAAACCATTCAGAAATTTACTGTCATTTCTTAATTCAGCATTTATTGTTGTTACATCTTAGAATACTATCCATTATTAATCAAACCCCTTATACTGCCTTGGGGGTACGCGTAGTGATGAAGGAACTATGCTACAAGCCGGAAGGTCACGGGTTCAAGTCCCGATGAGGTCATTGGATTTTTTCAATTGACCTAATCCTTCTGGCAGCACTAGGCCCTGGGGTTTACTCAGCCTCTAACAGAAATGAGTACCAGGAATCAATTAAATGATTTTCCTGAGGAGTGAAGCGCGGCCGGCGCGTAAGACTGACAACCATACCGCCGTCTCTGAGCCGATTGTCAAGGTAATGTGGGACCCTTAACGTCTCACAACCCTATGGGCCTTCATGGCCTATTACAGGGATAGCTTTACTTCTTTTTTTTTTATTTATACTGCCTTACAAATGCATTACATTATTTAGTTTTGTAAATTGTTTCATAATGTAGGTGTAGTTTAGAGCCATACATGCTGGTGAATACACACTTGTACAAGCGCGCCCACTCTCTTTCTCTCCTCCCCACTTCTGTCCATCCATTCTCTCCTGTACCCTTAACGTCTCTATGTACTTGGTTATCAAACTTATTTCTCTTTATAGGAGAATTTTCCATGTTATTTCTTCTCATTTTTCAGATTATTCTGCACGAATGTCAACATGAATGCAGTGAGGAGTGGCCATGTTCCTGTGATGTCTCCAATAAATCTTTCAATCAAGAGTGTGATCTAGGGACACATCAGCCCATAGACCTATATGGTGAGGAGCAGAGATTTGACTGTCATATATGTAACAAGTCATTCACTCAACACAATAGTCTGAAGAGGCATGAGCGCATACATAGTGGGGAGCGGCCATTTTGCTGTGATGTGTGTAATAAGACTTTCAGTCGGCAAGATGATATGAAGACACATAAACGCATTCATAGTGGGGAGAAGCCATTCTGCTGTGCTGTGTGTAATAAGACTTTCAGTTGGCAGAATAATCTGAAGAGACATCAGCGCATACATAATGAAGAACAGCCATTTCACTGTGATGTGTGTAGTAAGTCATTCAGTGATCGGGATAATTGGAAAAGGCATCAGCACATACATAGTGAGGAGCGGCCTTTTTGCTGTGACGTGTGTACTAAGTCATTCAGTGATCGGGATAATTGGAAAAGGCATCAGCACATACATAGTGAGGAGCGGCCTTTTTGCTGTGACGTGTGTACTAAGTCATTCAGTGATAAGGGAAGTTTGAAGAGGCACCAGTTCATACATAATGGGGAGCTCCCTTTTTGCTGTGTCGTGTGTAATAAGTCATTCAGTCGGCAGTATAATCTGAAGGTACATCAAAGCATACATAGTGGGGAAAGGCCATTTTCTTGTCATGTGTGCAGTAAGACATTCAGTCACCAGAGTAAACTGAAGACACATGAACGCATACATAGTGGGGAGAAGCCATTTAGCTGTGATGTGTGTAGTAAGTCATTCAATCGACAGCATAATCTGAAGGTACATCAAGGCATACATAGTGGGAAACGACCATTTTCTTGTCATGTGTGCAGTAAGACATTCAGTCACCAGAGTAAACTGAAGACACATGAACGCATACATAGTGGGGAGAAGCCATTTAGATGTAACATATGTAGTAAGTCATTCAGTTGACAGCATAATCTGAAGCTACATCAAGGCATACATAGTGGGGAACGACCATTTTCCTGTCTAGTGTGTAATAAGTCATACAGCCAGAAGAATAAACTGAAGATACATGAACGCATACATAGTGGGGAGAGGCCATTTTACTGTGATGTGTGCAGTAAGTTATTCAGTGATCAGAAAATTCTGAAGAGGCACAAGTCCATACATAGTGGGGAGCGGCCTTTTTGCTGTATTGTGTGTAATAAGTCATTCACTCGGGAGGATAGTCTGAAGAGGCATCAGCGCATACATGGTGGAGAACAGCCATTTTGCTGTGATATGTGTAATAAGTTATTCAGTGATCAGGATAATTGGAAAAGGCATCAGTGTGTACATGGTGGGGACCGGTCATATAGGTGTGATGTGTGTGATAAATCATTCTGTCATAGCTTTCATCTGAAGCAACATCTACTCACTTGTGTGCAGTAAATCATGCAGCAGTAGAGATGAGTTTAGATTAAAGAAACAATATGTGTCTTGTTTCATTCCACAGTGCTGTTTGCTGATAAGTTACAGCATCCCACATGTTTTTTAGAATGCTACAAAATGCTGGATGTGTTTGTAGTTGCTAACTTTTTGGGGTGCCATGGGAACTGAAATGAGTCCCATGTTACAAAAGGTCAGTGCATATCAGTATCTGCACTGACTGCAGAATATGCACAAGACCATGTCTAGTTAGTTGAGAGTAAACAGACTTGACATGACATTCTGTTACATTTATGATGAAGTTAGTGATTAGTAAGGCTCAGTTATTGAAACTGACTGACTGTTTGTAAACATAATTCTGCAGCATCTTTCATCTTTTACTGAAAGTTTTCTATGCTCTTCCATTATCTCCTCTGAGTAAATTTGTTGGTCATCTTTCTGCTGGTGGTGGTCAATTTCTTGCATGCTCCACAATTCCCCTGGGTCTATTCTTCCAGCTGACTGTTGTGTTCTTTGGCTAGATTCCAGTCTTTATACTGCTTCCTCAGTCCTCCAACCAGTTTGACTGCAGCATCTTCCTTAGGGCACTCCTGGTGCTCCTTTTTGGATTACATTTCTTCTGAGGCTGGTTCTTTGCACTGGGGTTGTTCCATATTGGGTGGAGACACCATTGTTACTGGCTCATAGCGTGCCAGAGGGGATCATCTTGTGAGCCTGAATTATTAGTGGGCAGCATTCAAGACCCTCACCAGTGATGATATCACTTTCAAAATTACTCTAACACATAAATAAAGTCTTCTATATCTCCTTACACTAGCCATTTCTAGGTAACAGATCTAAACAATGAATATTCCTCCCCAAAGTTTTACCTATCTGTTTCCTGGTAATGGATTTTTAACACAGGCACTGTAACTGTTATACCACAGATATCACTGCACTACAGCACACATAAAATGTGTAGTCTTCACAGGCTGACTTCTTCTGCTCTTCTGTGCTCTGGTTCCAGTTCGCTCTTATAGCTTACTGCTATATTCCGGTCACTTACTGATCAGCTTAGGAATTCTGCTCACTTATGAAGACATGGCACAGACATGGATTTACAGAAGAAACACATCACGTGATTACTATCCAGGCAGTACATTGGCTCTCTCCTACTGAAAACTGACTGACTCATAGTGCCAATTGTCTTAAAGATAACTCATCTGCATGGACCCCACAAGTCAATTCTTCTTTTATTAAGGATGTCTGTTTACAGCTTCCTTGCCTGGCAATAGTTTTCCTTCTGTTCCATGTGTTTGCTTGGTGCAGACCACAGAAAACAGGTTCCCCTATATTGTTGTCACTTTCATGGGGGTGGGGGGTTTACCAGCCGTCGCATAGAAACGGCGGTTCTTTTACTGTTGACTGTATTCATGTTATATTTTAGCGTCCTGTTGCACTGATTTAAGTTCATGATTTGTTTATTCCGTCTTGCAGTGCATACACTTATCTATCTTCTTCTCTCACTTTCACTACATGTTTCGGCATAAGAATGCCATCTTCAGGTGCTACTCAATTCACGTCAAACTAGTACATTGTATGCCTTGTCTTCACTTTANGTATTCATTCCCATGAGAATGTTTATGAACATTCCTCAACTGTTACAGAAATGGCCCATATGTCACACTATGCTTCACTGATCATTGCAGACAAAACATCATTTTATGGGATATTTTTTATATTTGTTACTAAAGGAAGCTAAAAATAGAGATGTGTCGATTCTGTTTGTGTACAGCAGATTTAATTGGAAGGATCGTGAAAGACGCACATACCTCTTTTCACTCTAAACATCAGCTAGCAAAGAAACTGAATGGTTTGTCATGAGATTAAAAAAAGAAAGTTGTCTCGGTATGAGGCACTCCCCTCCCTTTAGATCTCAGTGACCCTAGAGGGAACAACCAACAGAAAATTATGAAGTAAGTTTAAATTTTAAGCTTAACTGAATAATTGTTTAATAAAATTACACAGTGTCATTAATATAATAAATTGTAATTAAGAGTTTCTTTTTTCCTTGGCACTACAGCCCCAGTGGGCCTAGGCCTACCTCCATGAACTTCTCCATTCACTTTGGTTTTTCTAGATCTTACATATTTGGTAGGACTACTTGGGTGAGTGATCAGCTCGTCGCAAGGCCTCTATCTGTATACAAACACAGAAAAACGTACACACATAAACTAAACATCCATGCCTTAAGTGGGATTCGAACCCACGATCCCGGTTTCCAAGTGAGCGAAGACAGTACATGCCTTAGACCGCTCGGATACCGTGACCGGCAATTAAGAGGTTTAAAATACTAAAATAACTTAAAAGCAGTAAGTTATAATTGGGGTGTTTAGTGGTGCAGTTACATTTTTCCTCACCCTCCCCAATATTTGAATTCGTAACAGCACAGCTCTCCACAAACACATATAGAACAACATCAAAGAACCCTCTTCTTGAGAATGACAAGGCGGCACACGTTCGGCCATTGTCTAGAGAAATAATAAGAGGGACGACAGGAACCCGCTTGGTTTACGAATTCAAATAGAGTCTTAACAAACCAGTTATAAATATTTTAAAATATTGGAACGGCCGCTGTAGTTGTAAAGACTCTAGATTTTATACCCAATTGTATATTATCTTATTTTATATGCATACATTTTAACTTACAGAACATATATTGTAATAGTAGCCTCTAATTGTATTGATGTAAAGGTGTCCCTCTGATTATGGTCTCTGAAGACCGAAACATGTAAGGGCATAAATATCTAAAATAAGAAAAACCTTCACCAGTCACACTGGACAGAACTGTTTAACTTTTCATGATATCGTTAGTGTGACGAACCAGAATGAAACAAATCAAATACAATAAGGAATCTTCGGGACCCATACAAGAGTGGAAATATCTTGAACTGCCAAGTGACTATCGGCTTATCGACGAGACTGATCTTTGAAATTAATGTTTGTTGTTGCTGTTGTGCAAAATCAGTGAATTAGCTGATGAGACTGAATGAAGTCAAGAGAAAAATTGTTCTTGTTTTAATGCACAAGGTTGTAGATTCAGATCCCACTTGAAGCATGAATATGTGCGTTCTCTGAGCTGTTAAGAACCATCAGAACCTCCCAACATCTGGTTTTTGACTTAATCTTGGCTGGTTAGCAGGGTAATAACGCCTGAGACTGGCATGCATGCTAGTCAGAATACCAGCGAAGAATGAAGTATCTTCTCTGAGGAATCTCATGGTTTCTGTTGGTTCGCCAAGGAAAATATTGGGACGGGGCCTCAACTCCTTGGTGACATAACTCCGTGGCCTTCAGTCCGCAAGCGAACTATACCGACCGAGAGACCGCCGCTTGTCAGCGAAGTTAGTGCCAACCTTTGCGGATAGAGGGTGTCGTGTGGTCAGCACAAGAGATTCCCAAGGCCGTTAGTCTCGGTTTTCTAGACCGGAGCCGCTACTTTCTCTTTGGTGACATAGGGCATTTAAAAGCAACCTTACAGTGCAGATGGAGGATACTGAAATATCCTCATCCAAAATGTGGAAGTTTATCGAAAACTGCAGTAAAATAAAAAAGAATGGAATTTTAAAGCGAAAAATTAACCGTATATTCAGTGTGAGTGTCCCCAAAAAGCAGTTAGTTAAAATATGATGTAAAATCCTAAAAGGGAACATTTTAAAGTTGAAAAATGAACACTGTGCTCTGTGTAGAAAATAACTTTGGGGTTTAAATATTGTACTTTTATTTAGGCTTGCAAGTGTCTGAAAGACAAGCGCCCCTTCCATAACGTAAGCAATTCTTCGACTGAATATTCTGCTCATTAAGGAATAAGTTCTGAAAGTTATCTTTCAGATGCGACAGGACAGGAAGGATTTTGTAAAGTTATGCAGGGCTTTCATAATTTGTTTTGTTAATGTTGTCGTAAGAATTTCATTATTAGTTGGAGCCTGTCTCCTGATATCACATCGCCAGATTGTGGAGCTGGCAGTATTCTCTTCCTTGAAAAATATGCGCGAAGTGTGGGATTTCGAATGATCCCCATTAGAAAATACAAAATAATTAATTTTCTGTTACTGGTGCCCATTGTCCTATAAAAGATCTAAAAGAAAAATTCTCCTTCTAGAATTCATAAATTGTTCTGCATAACGATTCATTTACACAAATATTTTATGACCTATGTCTGCTAAATAATAATAAATAATAATAAAAACACAGGCACAATACTCGCGAGCCAGACTCGTATGTGTACGGGCCCCTTAAATGCTCTAAATGATACTGCACAGAATCTTGAGGTGGTACAATGAAACATAAAGACTTAACAAAATGCTCGAGATCTGTCGCTCCAAGCGGAGACATGCTGGACATTCAATGCACAAGAATACGGTTTACTTTTTGGATCAGAGAACTTCATTGAGCAACATGGACCTCTAAGTTTTATCCGTTTTATCTATACATCAAGGGTATCCAAACTACGGCCCGCGGGCCACATCCGGCTCGCGAAAGAATTGTGCAGAAATGCGCCAATGGAACTAATTTTCCAATGAGTACTGGTAAAAGAAAAACTTATTCATAGATTTCAAATTCATTAATTCAGACTATGTTTAAAATATATTGATATTCCATATTATGTTAATATTAATATTATTTACAATTTTACTAATTCTGGACCGTATACTGCGCGGTATTTCTTCGTACTTGTTCGGCCTCGATCGGCAGTGTCACTTCGTGGCAATGTAGGTAGCGCGAGCAGTTCGTTACTAGCCGTCTTCTTCCAGTGGTGCAGTGTAATTGTAACAGATCATCACCACCGCCGGTGTCGTACTTATTACCATTTTTTTTTTATTAGAAGCTACTTATGCCCAGCTTTGCTCTAACTGTTCCGAGAATTGGTAGCGAAGAATATTGATAAGGCTGCCGGAAATTTAGTCCCTTTTACAAAGGCCGGCGTGGTACGGCTATCGGTTACCACTCCCAGCCGACAAAGGATGTTTCCAGAACGTTTCCTAGAGTTACTAAG